TCAGCTGAACGAGATCGGTTCATAAGATCATATAAATAACTATTTTCTCAGACTAGTTTTTTTGAGCTTAATCACACAGCAGGAGCCTTCCTGCAGTTTGAATGCCTCAAAAGCCTTGTTAAGGGCAAACTGTTGGATCTGGTTTGAGTTTTCTTTCTTTTCTTCGTATTTTTGTTGAGCAAACGCGAGGTGTTATTATTCTTTATTCACGAATAAGCTGACGTTTCGGCGGATTTCGACTTCCTCAGAGCCTGGAAAGGTCAAGTTGATAGCAATCTACTCGGCCAGACGCCTCCATAACCAAACAAAGAAACTCTAAACCAAGATTTCAATCACTTTGAACACAGCTTTGCACACTCACCGCTTTCTATGAGGTTTTCTTTCTTTTCGACAAAACTTTTAAACCTTTAGACAAACGGCTTTATAGCCTACAGTTGTGTAAATCTTGATCTGTCAGTTATGTAAGAAATGGTTCCACATGAACGTCTTGTTCATATATGAGTTGTGTTTTTCATCTTGCGTAATAACAGGATTTATTCTCCTGTTTCGGCTTGATCGAATGTTCATACCAAGGAGCAGTGATGGGATCAAGCACTGGTTGATGGGAACATAGAGGTGTTCACCTGAGACGTGTTTCTATTTGCTGATATGTGATTGATCTCCACATGAATCCTCTCATTAGGTGATTTCTGTGCGCAACTGTAGCTATTCTTCTTTTCGAAAATAAATTCGCACTTCAAGAACGTGAATAAGAACTCGGCGAGAACAATCCCATATTAGTCTGCTGTGTCTGATATCCCGGCCTTGCATTCACTTTCATTAGCACTTGCTAGTCGTTAAAGTTCTCCAATGAAAAAAAAGTCTACTGAATGACTTTTCAGTGTAAACTACTTCAACTCACGACAAAATATACCTATTAGGACTATTCTCTTATAAATTCTGGTGAATAACAATTGCGACCAAGCCTATGCTACGAACATATTTTCTTCACGAATGAATACAGTTTTGTGATTTCACACTAATTATGTCGGTCTTCTTGATCTTCGCCATCTGTACGAAGATCTCGTCAAATTTGTTGTATAATGCGCAGCCAAGAGAAGCGTGAAAGTCATCCCGATGTGGAGTAGGTGTAAGAAACAGTTATCGTGTCTGCTTGTGAACGTGGTTATATTAGTTATATTAGTTAGCGTAGTTATATTGTTTTGAGGTTATCACAATATGAACTCGTTAGCCTAGAACGAATGAGAATTCGCTATAAGTAAATTTCTGCCAGGACAGCGGTGTTTCCTAACATCGGCCTATCCTTCGTTATGCTTGAAGCAGTAGTTAGCAATACAGTCTATTAGGAAGCAAGCTAGTGGTTTGACCCATTCCCAACCCTCTCCTCTATTTAACGTTTTTAGCTTGAGTTTTCCGAATATTGCAAAAGGAACTGACTGGTTAACCACCCTCTTTAGGAACAACTCCTCAAGAAGCAGCCGAAAGAGCGAAGTGTTCGAAGACTTTTGTGCATGGGGATTTCGGGGAAAACGAATTAGTCGTATGAAGCGCTGGAATCCGAACAGTAGATGTAAAAACAGATCATATAAAAATTATATGTAATACCACTTCAAAACCGGTGCGTGTATGGCAATGGTTAAAGATATCCTGAGGCACACAGGTCGTAGTAGGTTCAATTCAGGGCCTAAGGCTCATAAAGCCTTAAATCCCTCCGGTGTGTGCAGATTGGTAACAGACTTGGCTGGAAGGATAGCAGCACTGATTTGATACGTCAGTAGGCCACCGCAAGTCATTGCATAGACCAGATATGCATTCAACTACCTTTTGATGAAGTCGAATAAATGGCGCATCCCTTAGGATTTCATCAATTCTCAACATCTAAATACGATCACGCTACAAGGAGACACCGCAATAATCTCTTTGTTCAGTGTTCATTCAAAAAGACGACCCTTCACGAAACGCCCTTCAAATTTAATCCAAATTGTGCACAGCGCGAGACAAATAATGGAGTTTCGCTGACGCTGTAAGGTGTGAAAACCATTTGTTACAGAATCATCTTCAGTTACGTAGAAAGAAAAAGCAACGTTTGACCTGGGTTCAAGTAAGAAGCCATTTATTCTGCTATTCATTTACTATGAATATGGCTATGCTATGCTATTCGGTGGATTAAGAGAGATCGTTCGCGATGGCCGAACTAGCGACAAACTCTCTCTGTGATATCAACAAACAAATCCAATCAACAACACCCACTACCACCTGTGCACAATACGCTATTGCATATGTTGCCCTAATGGTAAGGAAATATAATATAATGATTGTGAGTTTCAACTGCGACTTATGAGTTCCTCGGAAGACATGCTATGATGAAGGAATGTATTGCAGAATGCGGAAGAACGCTTTATGTGCAAAACACAGAACACATAGAACGACGAAAGTAGAAAGTCTGCTGGCATGGTAGTTGTTATGCCGAATCGAAGCTAACTTAATGGAATGTAATGCCCAAAGTCATTTCAGGCAAAACTCTCCAAGGTTGCTTGCACGACGTATTATGGTATGTCATAAAAAGTTCATGGAAGTAAAACATGGAAAGGAAGAAGTAAAAGTTAACAAAAAAAAAACAAATAAAAGCCACCGCTCTACATAAATGAACATCGCCAGGTGAGGTTGCTTCATTCGAGCTGTGCTCCACTAAAGAAGATTTGATTCGATGCAGCGACGAAGACACCACATCGAGAAGACGAATGGCTATGGACATCGACTTATGAAGCTTTGATGAAGCAGATGACGTCGAAACGTTAGCCGAACAAAATTGTTTATCAACCCCGTGTTGGCTTATCAGTGGAAGAATACATCTAATTACTCATACCAAGGTTAAGGAATATTCTAGGAAATTTTCTAAGGTATTTCTGACGAACACATTAGATATCATGTTTTTGAATTGTTGGGCTTGCACGAGCTTGAAAAAGATATTTATTTCGGTTAACGTTTCGATGTCTTCGTCTTCATTAGGACCGATGATCCATATTAAGTAACGTCTCAAGAACCGACTTTGCTTTAATCTCGGCATGACTAATCAATAAGTATTATTCCACTATTGAGTTAACAGGAGGTTGGTAAAGGGGTTTATTCGGATGATGTATCCACGTCTTCGGCTTTTTCAGATGGAAGCAGGAAAGCGAGGACGTCAAAACTTAGCCGGATAAACCTCTTTGTCAATCTCATGTTAGCTTACCAATGAAAGAATATACTAGGTTATATTTCGAAACCGACTTTGTCTAAACCTCGGTGTGACTAATCAATATGTATTCTTTCTTGATAAGCTTGCACGAGGTTGATAAATATATTTATTTTCGGCTAACGTTTCGACGTCTTCGTCTTCCTCAGAGCCGATGGTCCGAGTCGATGGTCCATGATTGTTGCTCCAGATTCCAGAAGACCTGGCTCGACACGAAGCCGAAGCTGCAACGTCGAGACGAACAACAATCATGGACCATCGACTCGGACCATCGGCTCTGAGGAAGACGAAGACGTCGAAACGTTAGCCGAAAATAAATATATTTATCAACCTCGTGCAAGCTTATCAAGAAAGAATACATACTAGGTTATGTTCCTTGAAAATCGAAATTCGTTCAGCTTTGACTTGGGTTATCAAATTTTTTCTTGTATTCGCATGATTACGCAAAGTTGCTAGATGAATTTTTATTGTGTATAGCGTTTCGGCGCTTCCTTCTTTTCAAAGCCGCAATGATTCGAGTGGAATGCTTACAATCGCTCATTCTTGTGGCATGAGTCTTCGTCGGCGCATCGAGTTAAATTCAGTAAAATGGAGCTCCACGCGAATGAGCCACCAATTACATTGTCATTCTGCAGTACACCATCTAATATTCATATGCTGGGCTTTTCACTTTTCCCAGGTAAATTAAATTAAAAAATCATTCGAATAGGCAACGCTATCATCTGGCGTCACGATCTAATCTTGTGATAATCTGATAATCTTAACCACCTCGTTAGTGCTGAAGGTTATGACTGAAATCTTAGGTTTCACTTTGATCTGATAAAGGGGGAAGCCTTTTGAGTACCGAAATGTGACAAGTGATAAACCTGCCTCATTTCAAAACAGCCAACGGTTGCTTGAAGTGTCCAGTTGACGCAGTCCTAGAGCAACTGTTCCCGGAGTTCAAAACGAAAAAAAAATCTAATCTTTAACTCTTTACTTGCCTACTATTTTTTCGTGATAAGGCGTTATGTGAAATATAACATGTGATATTAGCAAAACTCAGAACTAAAGCCAGATTCGAACCCTTGGTTAGCATTTCGGAGGGCTCACGTGTTATGTACTCCACCACAAAAATCGTTGACTTGCTTTTCTCTCAGCTAGCTCTTTACCCCAACAGTGCCATCAGTTATCACCCGCCAACGGTAAAGCCCTAGGGTGCATAAATCGACATTGAATACAAATCTGACCTAGGATAGGAGATTTGGAAATATCTCAGTATCATAGTATCCTAGGTTGCGCTGCACATAAAAAACCGCCACCCAATTTTTGGAGAGCGATTTGACAAGTGCTGTTGCGCCGCCATTCACATATCCGGTAAACTGAGATCTCAGCTCATTTAAAATTAAAGGAAGAGGTCTAAATACCAATGTGGCAAAAACTGTTCAGTTCAAACGTTTTTATTTAGTGGAATACTTACGACTCCGCTTAATTATATACAAGAACGATGAGCTGAACTACTTGGTAGAGGTGCCACAGATGATCCTTCCAATGTGTTTGATGACAAGAGTTTGTCACAAAAAAGGGTTTCTCAGTAAAGCAAGCTTTAATCAACTTTCTGTGCTTAACATCGTCGATTTTGGTTATTACATAACATTTTTGGACATTTCGTTAGAAAACTAGGAAAATGAAGTAGAAGTTAAACGAGGAACGATCGAACTGCAACATTCAGACTAACATCTCTATGTATGGTTCTCATGTGATGCAATAAGTCGGGCTTCTGTGTCTAGGACCGTCTTCGACCACTTGCTTTCCTGCTCATAAGTTGGAACATGCCACAATATTGCTTCAGATCACTGCAATGAGCAGTTTTTAAAAACGTAAATTGTTTTGTTATGTACTAATCAAAACTTTTAGATATTTAAAAGTCAGATGTCTTTATGATAAAGTGGCATAATTCCATGTTCTCATAAATTTGCTGATGATGCATACATCAATAGATACACAATTCTTATGGGTTTGCTCACCGCAGAGTTTTTCTAGAACACAATTTTGGTGATGCTGGAATTTCTTCAACGCTTACCTCACCCCAGCGTTCACTGTGCATTCGCAGAACTCGCCAGCTTCCTTCTTCCAGTTCACCTGCCTGGTGCAATGACGTATTGAAGCCTTTGCCTTCTTCTCCGCCACTAAAGGTTGACAACTGCAATTACAAATTTTACACTACTTTTACATCTTTCTAATACGCTTCTTTAAATAAATATTTAGTTCGACTTTACCCTACCCTAAAAAAATTGTGTACTAAGTATTCCGTTCAATTGCATATTATCCCTTTTTAAAATAGGTATTCTACGAGTAGTGCAGTGATTAAAGGTGGCCTGCGATATACACGTCGTCTTTGGTTCGATTACGCGCGCCAGAGTCACCAAGCATTCCATCCCTCCGCGTTTAAGAAATTAGCACCAGAGTTATCCAGGATGATAGCAGCACTGACTTGATAGGCTACCGAAGGTCATTATTTAGTGCAGATATGCATTCAATCACTTCTAACGATGCGTAATGGAGTCCAGTTTATGGTACAATGGCACAACCCTTAGGGATGTATCAACGCCAGAGCTTTATCATTTAATCCTTTAATATGTATTGCATCATTTCTGTAAGTCAAATCGCTTAATGTCTAATAGCTAGACAAACTAAAATTTTCTTCCCGCTCTCTCCTTCCAGTGGCGCGTTAACCCATGCTGTAAAATGCGACATTTTCTTGTGGAAGCTTAGCTAAGAGTAGGCTTGTGTGATTACTAAAAGCTGCAAAAAGTAGGATGCGCTCCATGCTGCCCTGGTGTGTGTCCTTAATGGTAGCGGCTCTTGTGCAACATAGGAACAAAGGGTTTTAATCATTCAATGATTAGCTGGATATCAGGGTGTGGAATGATACAAATCCAGCTGCAATTACCATTGAGCTAAGCTTGCTGAACAAAACCAATAAACCAAAATGTTAAAAACAAATTACAGTGTCGATTAATTAAAACCTCGCCAGCTTTGCTAGCAACTATTTGTTTTGAACAAGTTCTGAGCGAAAGTGAAAAGTTTGATTGCTGTGGCAAAGATCGATAGAAATAGCTGAGACAGGCGAAATGAAGGACCCGCATGGTGTGGTGGTGAACACGTTACACCCCGGAAAGGGCAATAGCGCGTTCGTTCCCCACCATAGACACCTGCGGTCCAGAGTTTTGCAAATATCTCAGCAACGTTTTGGTTGTATTTCGCTTAGTACCCTGCCGCGAAATTATAGTAGGCGGAAAATAAAAAGGTTTAACATTGAAAAGTTGTTGTTTTTCGCAGGTGCGGAAGATTAAACTGATTAGATGAGCAGAAATCTCAGAGCGAAACATCACTGTCGAAGACATGTTGACGTTAGCGCATCGAAGGACAGTCGCTCAATGACATCAGCTAGCGTCAATACGAGAAGTGAAACGAGTTCACCGAATAGGTTCCATTCCTATACCGGGTCGACTCGAGAACGAATCCAACAACAATAACGTCATTAATTTGACACTTCTGAGATGTCATTAAATCAGTGGAATTCACGAACCATCAATCCATCGAAGTACTCTCCAAAACAGCCACACACTACCGTTTTTCTTGTGATACAGTAGAGAAGAAGGCTCATGGCATGAAAATTTTGAAAAGAAAAATACGACTGTGAGCTCTTGTTTAGTTTCGTAAACCAATTTTTATTTAACCACACTATGAGTAATCAAAGTATTATTTCATTCATAAGCTAACACGACGCCGTTATGGAAAGCTTTGATTCGACTAGTGTTTCGGCGCATTCGCCTTCTTCAGAGCCGCAATGAGTCGAGTCGATTGTCTACAGCTGTTACTTTGGTGTCAACTCCTTCCTCACCTTTAGGGTCAACTACAACAGTTTATAGGTTTGATTCAGAATCATTCACCTGGTTTGTCCTAGTATGGGTAAATTAGTTACGTCTAACATTCAGAACAACATAGTCCTGTCCTTTAGCTTCGTTGAATCACACCCTGTGGTAGCAGTTCCACATACTGACGAAGAAAAACAGAAAACAACTGAAAAACAGGAACAACCAACTTTTTTCGGTCAAAGCAGAAGCCGTTGGCGTTCTTCGCTAGGAAGCAGTTCTTGATGCACTTAGCAAACTCGCCGGCGGCTTTCATAATGTGCTTGATTGGAGCGATAACAGACTAAAGACGATTTCATTGTTTCTGTACTTTCTTAAATTTATATAAATGTCTTTTATGTGCTTCAATGGCTATCTCATTATCTTCACGTTATCCAGAAACAAAATTCTCGCAGTAATTCAGAATGCGTTTGTCGAAACTAATGCTAAGAATGAGCAATATAAATTACATATTTCTTTACATTTAAGTGTTCTCCAGGCTTCTTCGCTCTGCAACGATTTGCCTATTTTCTCATTGTTTTCTTAACGACCAAGTCGAAGCAAAATATAGCTATCGCGCAAATCTCTTAAGGATTGGATTCTCCTACAAAATTCACACTTGAAGGGTTTCTAGCTACTTGAGTGGAAGAGTTTTAGGAGAGTTTTCATCTTCGTTCAGATTTCGTTAACTTCCGATCTTTTCAAGAAAGAAAAACGTTTTTCGTGTCGTTCGCTTTTTGTTTGTATAATACTTTCTCTAGAGATCAAAGGAAAAGACGATACGGTTGTTTCCTAGGAATTTTTCCGAAACGGGTTTTTATTTGCTTTCGCTTACCTGTAATGCCAGCGATTGATTCACGATACGATGTTCGCTGATGGAAAACAACGCATTGACGTCCGTTTTCGGGATTTGTGGTCCATTCTTGTGAGGAACACAGCTGAAAATGTCGATCAATACTTATCAATGCAACTGCAATACTAGCAAAAATGCACACTTTCTTTTCAGTCTGAAGAGTCGAAAAGTACTCACCTTTCCATTTTCTGCTCGAAACACAGCAAAAATCCTTCCAATATATTATCCTTCTCTTCGAAACATTTTTTGAGATCATTAGGCCGCTCAGTGATCTAAAAATCAGAGAAACGATCAATTACGGATCAAACAGCGCCCATGTTTCCATAGGATTTTTATTGTTATTTCTGTCAAGATCTCCATTTCTCCTTCTTATTTTTCTTTCAACCAATATTTTCTATTTGCTTTTTCTTCTAAAATAATCTCCTGGATGGTGGTCTTATTGTCCGGACCATTTTGAATACGTCTAGGTATCATATATTAAAAATTCCACCCACTTAAAGAATTTAGGGAACGAAACTTGACATCGTTTTTTTTCTACTGTCCACGACTTAACTCACAGCTCCGAACTCGGCGAAACACGGTCCAGCGCATTCCTTGGCCTGAGCCCTCATCTCCTTGCCGCACTCGCTCTGCTCTTCACACGAACATTGTCGAATAGTCTCACCAGCTACACGGGATTGAAGAATAACTTCAGTACCATGCTTGGCTACCTAAAATTGAGCAATACTAGCCAAAGTGGCAGATTATTTGAGACGGTAGTATTTTCGTTACATGTCGGTTAAGCCATGATGTCGGCGCTGAGTACTCCCTTAATAATGAGCCATGAATTCGACTGCATTCTTGGTACCGCAGAGGCCATTAAACGCATATTTGACTTATACAACGACTTGTGAGGGATTGTCAATGTGTTAAACCAGTGTTTTTTATCGTCCCAGACTAGTTTGGTACCAATTTTCCGACCTCGAATGAAAGGTTTTGGTATCCTACGCCAAACGCCACCTATTTATTGCAGGATACGTTACTGCTACGCCAAACGGGACTCATATAATCTAACAATATAACTTATATCTAGGTGGATTCTAGATTAATAAATCAACAATCATTGTATTAACCCGTTCTAGCGTCACTCATCGCTGCAGAAAGCCATGAAAAGTGGTTTTTTTGTCGAACGTCAACGACTGTAACGCGCAAAATTCAACTGGTTTTCAGCCGATTCTCGACATGCACGGTAGATTTCGGAGTACTGTCTAACTTTAGAAAAATTTAGTGTATGGGAGATATCGGTACAGAAAAAAACTGGTCCCATTGTCCCACTTCCAGTAACCTATAGCACATTACAGTTGCATGCAATCTATCAATGCCAAACAAGTGTGCAAATCACCATAGATGCGCGATATGCCTTTCGAGAATGCTGATCGATCGTTTGAATCAGGACGTTTGCAATAGGTTTTTGTATAATCTCACATATTTATTACCTTAGTGAACGTACAGCAGAAATAAATAGAATACAGACATTGTCGCAATAGTCTATGAAACTGATTAAGGATTTACTAAAATTTTCTTTCAGAACACTAATCTGATCAAAGGCTGCTTTGTGGATGTGGTGACCCTCAAAAAAGCCGTTGTGAACTACTAAGGTGACCACTGGATGCAATGATTGACATGTTGGGCAAGGTATTGGTAACTTATAGGCACAAAATAGCTGTGAACTAGAAAACTACTTAATTGCTCAAACATTCTAAAAGAACGGCGCAGAAAAGTGGCAGTTATTTAAGGTTAGTAAAAAAGTAATCCAACCCATCTGATGTTTCCTCGCATCCATTATCCACGAAGGTCTTCCAATTTCCAAGGCCAACTTTCTTTTAACCTTGGCATTGGTCAATAATTCACTGTTTAATGAGCAAATACAAGGTTGGTATTACAGCGTTTGTTAATAGAGAACAGCCGACGTTTCGGCGATTTTGTCTTTTCCAGAGTCGTCTTGTTCTGTATAAGTACTCCAGTTATTTGTTGGAGGACAGCCCCATAGAGTACTCCATGGGTGAGCACGGCCATGTGTACTCTCTGCCATCAGTCTTCAAAGAATAACTTTAAGACTTATAAGGAACAAAATGGGTTTTCCAACCTATTATGTGTGGCTTCAGCTGCTGCTTGAGGATTTTCCTTTCATCACGAATGTCGTTGAATGCTGGTTGAGTCGATTATCTTTGGATGTCCGAGATAGCCAGACTAGAGCGTTTTAACTTATATTGCAGAGAATGAACTTTTCCAGAAAAATCTGGCCCCAGTTTCTCGATATCACAGGGATGAGAGGCTTGGTGAGCACGGAGCGGGATCGAACCAGCACCGTGCTTGTGATGATCGATAAGTTAATACGTTTATTATACGTTATAGGTTAGTTAAACATTTTTTTCATTTTTATCGACTTCGTGTTAGCTTAAAAAAGTAAAAAAGCAGTAGATATATTTGGTTGTTGTAGGTTTAACCCCAGCATCAAAGAAAAAGTGATTATTTTAAAGATCTACAAAATGAAGTAGTGATATAAGGCTTCGTTATGGTTTACCAAGTTATATTATACAGCTGAGATAAAACGATATATGGTGATATACCCGGCCTATTACACCGGATCAAGGTCAATTAATAGTCGGAATTGTTACCATCGTGGAAAAATAAGAGTGAGAGCATAGTAACCTTTCCTCCGATACACAAAAGCTGGCGAATGACTGTGACAAAGATTGAAACCTTTTAGTAAGAGTTGACAAATAAAGGATAACGGATAAAGCGTCCAGCATTGATCATTCCCTACTTCACTTAAAGAGTGAGCCACTCAAGAAGATTTGATTCGGTCGACTTCGAAGACCAGCTACCCAAGGGCGAACAACAGTGGACCACGGGCTCGGATCATCGGCTTTGAAAAAGATGAAAATGTCGAAGTTAGCTGAATGAAAGTTATGTCACGACCTCGAGTAAGCAGAACAATCTAAACAAATATCGTAATCCCTGAGCAATGCTCCATTAATTCGATCCATCAGACATTGGTTAGAGGTTATTGAATACATATCTGGATTATGAAATGATTTGCGGCGTCCTATCGATGTATCTAGACGGCTCTGCAATCCTCCCAGAGAAGTCTAACACTGATTTGCCAAACCCGGAGGGAACAAAGGGCTAGCGAGGCTGGAACGCGAGATCGAACCAACGATCACGTGTGTATTGCAAGGCAAATAATTATTATTGAGCGCCTAACTTAAGCTGTCAGCATCCGGTTGCCCACCAAAACTGTTCAATGACGACCGTTTGTCAATGGAGAGACACGAAAGATCGTACTTTTGGTATTATTCTTTCTCTTCCACTGTTTCTGATGAAAATATTGCCGCTGGCAGTTTAACCCTAATATGGGCTTCATCATTGGAAATTGGACCTCCTTAGCTGTGGTAGCCCTGCTGTGATGCACGTCGTCTCGCAAAAGATCGCAGTTTGAGTTCGACAGTGACAACAAGAGGGTGCTATTAGGCAGTGCATACACAAAGTGTTAAGAGAGGACCATGATAACTCTCTTTTTGTGAATTAAATAAAATCGAGTATGGGCACCATCTAGGAAAACAGTGAAAGAAAAGAAATTAAACAACAATGAACTTAAGATAGCACGTCAGCTGTATGTACCACTCGGTTTCCGAAGAAGCCGACTAGACAGAGGTTTCTGTCATGGAATGTGCAAACACTTTTCGAAAGCCCGTCTCTGAATCGAATTAAGTGCAGGCTCTTTTGTGAGGGAAACAGAGAGCAAAATGTATGCTGAATTCAGCATTTGGGATGTAAACAATAGCAACGTGGTAAACATTACACTTCATCGTTTGACAGAAATGACATTTTACCTCTATTGTTAAGTCACTTTTCATTTTCATTCCATTCGAGAGAGTGGGTTGCGCTTTCTGTTTTAATGTGTTTGCGTCCACACCCACAACACCTGTACACCCATTTGGGTTTGTTTCAAATATTGTGGTAAGTGTGAATGAGAAAATAAACTGCGTTATGTAGCATTCTGAAGGCCAACATGTTCTATTCAGTCTAGTCCTGCTACAAATGTGGTCTACAATAACGCTTTCATCCAATGAACAACTATTCTGATTCTGTGTGAGTATTTCGCTTAACAAGCATCTGTAAAAGCTGACCTGCATTGTTTGCAACATCGCTCAATGTTCTTTTCGTTTAAATTTATCTCCCACCTTTAACATTTTCTTAGTTTTCAAAATCGTTCTTTACCTTTAATCTAAACGACAGTGTCTAAACGGAGCAGTTTTGGTAAATCCTCAACGGCTTCCACCGTATAGTACTACACGGGGAAGTTAAAACGATCTGCAGAGGTACAAGTGAAAACGAGAATGTAAAGAGTAGCGACATTTCAGACGCATGTTGAAGGACGATTATTCGAAGAATTTTGGTGTTTTTAAAGCCAAAACTTGCAGTGTGTTGAACCTTATCAAATAGGACAAGTTTTGTGCCCAGAAATACTTTGACACCTAATTTTTCACATGATTAGCCAAGAAAAGGAAGAGTTTGGTATCTTCTCCTTAGTAGAAATGTGAACAAATGAATAACGAATTATTTACGAAGCCGCGAAGAAATAACACTACACCTGATCAATGGGATCTGCATTCAAAATCAGTGGTAGCAGCAGAAACACGAACATTGTTGTGTATAGTGAGGTAGGGTGGGTACTGTTGTTGTTATGCGTATGTGCGGGCGACTTTGTTGTCTAATAGACGCCACTCCCACTTTGCTCCACCTCTTCAAGGTTTCGGAGTAGCGCGATTTTTTGAAAGCCCGCGATTCCATTTAATCTCGTTAAATGGATAACTCATGCCATTATGTGCTGATGGGGTTACATGAGGTTATTACGACTTTTCCCAGGATCGACTTTCTCTTAACCTCGGCATTGGAATATGAATGTGTCGTTTTCTTGCTCAGCAATCTCGAGGTTTTTAAACAGCATACATTTACTTCCATAGAAGAACACAATACAATACAACGCCAGCTGACGTTTCGGCAGTATCGCCTTCTTCAGAGCCGCTTTTTCGTGACTTCCAATGAGGAAGTTTAGAACAGCTGATTATAGTTGCATGTGGTTGACGACGCATGTGGTTTTGAAGAAGGCGATACTGCCGAAACGTCAGCTAGCGTTGTATTGTATTGTGTTTTTATGGAAGTAAATGTATGCTGTTTAAAAACCTCGCTATTGCTGAATAAGAAAACGACACATTACAACTTTTGTTTTGAGGGTCTTCGTCCTCTTCAGATCAGTGATGATTCAGCCGTGCGATTCACAACGGATAGTTGCTGTGAACACTTGATTTGATTCTTTGCGAGTCTGAGGAAAGTGATAAAACTAAATCGTTAGCAACAATAAAGCTCTTTTGCAAAAACTTTGTGTTATCTTATCAGAAGGAGAAGCTAGTGATGTGATTCACTTCTTTCCCCCATTTTCAGTGCGAGTAATGTAGTTGTTCAAAGGCTACCATATACCTGAACTAAGATTCTTTTTGCTGTGAAGGATCTGGAGTACGCTTATCACCTTACGTTAGCTCAACGTTTCTCTAGTTGATAGACCCATAGGTGAGTTAGATAAGTAGATAATGTGACCAGTATTTTCCGCCGTCCTAGCATGATTCAGCAAAAGGGATAAGCGTCATGTCACAAAGAAACACTGACAT